CAGACGCGCAGCTGCCAGGAGATCTGCGACGAGTCGCACAACCCGTGGAACTCGTGGGGCAAGTGCGACCAGACGACGGCGACGCAAGAGCGCACCCGTGCGATCGTGAGCCCGCCAACGTCCGATCAGCAGCCATGCTCAACGTCGCAGACCCAGAGCTGCGCCGTCAACTGTGTGATGGACAACTGGGGCCAATGGACCAAGTGCGACGAGTGCACGGGCGTCCAGACCCGAACCCGTAAGGTCCTCATCCCAGAACAGAACGGCGGCAACCAGTGCCCGCCGACCACCGACAGCCAGACGTGCGCCGTCACGTGCTTGGCGAGCGAGTGGAGCCCGTGGGGTGCGCCGGACAACACGTGCACGTGCAAGCGTACCCGCACGGAGATTGCGCCAGCCATCAACGGCGGCACCTGCCTCCTCGAGCAGGCCGACGCCACGTGCACGCAAAACTGCGAAGTCGGCGACTGGAGCGTCCCCGGCGAGTGCCTCAAGACCGGACCCAACGCCGGCCAACAGCGCTCGACGCGCACAGTGACCAAGAAGCAGTGCAACGGCGGCGCGGCGTGCCCCAAAGACCTCGAAAAGTTCACTCCCTGCAACGTCGACTGCGTCCTCAGCGACTGGTCGGACTGGAGTGTTTGCGACCTCAAGACGCAGCAGCAGACACGCACGCGCACGGTACTCCAGACAGCCTACAACAGCGGCGCCAAGTGTGGCCCGAAGGTCGACTACCGGGCCTGCGGCTCGTGCGCCGACATCGTCTCGGCCTTTACGTACTCGGACTGCGACGCCAAGACGGGCACCCGCACCGGCTCGGCCACGTACCTCTACACTCCCCAGAACGGTCTCACGTGCAACCTCGCCGTGACCGAGACGTGCGCCGTCCACTGCGCGCTCTCCGAGTGGAACCAAGGCCAGTGCGCCGTGCGCGGAGACCTCGCGGGCCAGCAGGTCTGGACGCGCTCCGTTATCACGGCGCCGCTCAACGGCGGTCGCCCGTGCGGTGACCTCACCAAGTACGAGCTGTGCGTCGTCAACTGCAAGCCGGGTGACACGTGGGGCGCGTGGTCCAACTGCAACGCGCAGGGCTTTTCGCGCCGCACCATCAACATCGACTACCCAGCGCAGAACGGCGGTCTCAACGATGCGTGCTTGGTTGAAGAGCAAAAGACGTGCGCTGTTGATTGTGTCATCGACCCTGTCTCGGGCGACGTCACGCAGCCGTCGCTCAACGGCGGCAAGTCGTGCTACCAGATCGCGAAGGAGAACGGCATTCCGGGCAACTACCCCAAGTACTCGACCACGTCGAGCGTCTCGTTCATGACGATGCTCTCGAGCAACAAGTCGTACGCGCTCGCGGCCGCGGCCACGGGCGGCGTCGGCGTCATGTTCCTCGTCGGCTTCTTCACGACGCGCCAGCGCAACGGCTACAGCTCGATCGCGGGTCAGGCCTTGTAAACGGCGTCTTGCATGTGGCAACGGTCGTCATGGCATTCGACCTACGTATGAAGAAGAAAGTGTATTTGTGAGTGAATTAATGGTCTTGCGTCTTGAAAAGTCGCAAGTTATGTTGGTTCTGCCATATTGCAGAGCTTGCGTGATTGGTGCATGGGACAACGGCACATGTATCAAAGTATCGGTTTCTTGCGTCGAAGTGGAAGATTGCAGTCGTGGGAACTCTGGCTCGGCTTCGAGCCGGCTGCAAATCTCAAGACTCAGCCAACCCGAAGACGGCTCGGGTCGACACGAACCATGCCTGCTCAAGGCGCGCTGGCTTGCCGAGGGCGTCCTGCGTCTTTCTGCGAAACGGAGGTCGTTGTCGAGGCCGCAGCCTTTTTTGCTTATAATCTGCGAGCGACCTTTCAAAGAATTGCCTCGCAACCTATCGAAGCTATGACGGTGCTAGCGTGCTATCCATCGAGTGTCCACCTATGTCAGCCACTTGATACCAGCTTGATACTAACCCTACATAGTGCCTATCGTAGATGCAATCGATAGCAGTCGTAGGTCCCCGAAAATACTTGGCCACGCAACAGCGACCTCAGAGCTACCTACTAGTGAACATGGTCCTGCTGGATTGTATTGAACAGCTACGAGTCCTTGGTCTTATGGCTGCCACTGGGGCGAACACGCATCATTGGCAGCAAGAGAAGGCCGCCGAGCATGGCAAGGAGACCCATCGCGTAGAAGAGAACGTCCCAGCCAAAGTGCTCCTTGAGAAGAATCGGGAGCATGCCGGATGCTATCGCACCGAGCGAGCCCATGCCGTTGGCGATACCCGTGGCCATGGCCGAGGCCGACGGCGCGTTTGCGCGGTCGCAGACTTCAGCGCACGCTGCACCGCCGAGCATCGAGTCGGGCCCCGCGACAAAGAGCCCGACAAGCGCCATCGTGAAGAGGTTGACGCCTTGTCCGAGCGGCGCAACATGCGGATACAAAAGCGTCGTGACGCCGCAGAAAAGACACATGGGCCCCACGACTTTGGCGCTGTGCCCGAGATACACCTTGTCCGAGACGATGCCGCAGAGAACGCTGCCAAGCGTGCCCGCGAGGTCAAAGACGGTCGACATGAGGACGGCCTGCGGCGCCGAGTACCCCAGCATGTTGGTCAAGTAGAACGGGAGCCAGCCGAGGTACGTGTAGCGCACGAGCTTGATACAAAAGTACGCAGCGCTTATGTGCACAAGGTTGGGCAGCTCGAGTACGTCACGTATGGACAGCGTCGACGTCGACGGCGTGTGCAAGACATTGTGCAAGCTCTTGTCACTCGAGACGGGCGCGGGCGAGAGCAGCGTGAGCGTCACAAGTGCAAACGCGACCGAGAGATAGCTCGGCATCGTAAACACGTCGCGCCACGAGAGACCCGGTTGGCTCAATACGTAGGCGCCAAATGCGCTCGTGGCGAAGCCGCCGACTTGCTGGCACGTCGTCCAGAAGCCCATGACTTGGCCGCGCGTCGACGGCGGAAACCACGCCCGGAGCACGTCGGCAATGAGCGGGAAGAAGAGCGCTTGAAAGACGCCGTTGAGGCACCACGCAATCGCCCGGACGTCCTTCGAGTCGCTCGCACCAAAGAGGTAGGCACAGACGCCCGTGCCAACAAACGCCATCGCGAGACCGACGCGGACGCCGACGCGCGATGCAACGAGGCCCGACGCAAACTGCCCGACCGCGTACGCGATGAGAAAGGCCGTGTCGATGAGCCCGAGCTCGGCTTCCGAGTGCGCGTGCGTCGTTGTGAGCGTCGACTTGGTCACGGACAGCGGCTTGCGCGTGAAATAAACCACAATGTACGCAGCATACGTCAGGCCAAAGACGAACCGCCGCCCCATGCCCATGCTGGCCGAGCGCAACAATAGGAAAATGGATCAGCCAATGGCATCGCACGAAATAGGCAATCTATCCGGTTGGCATCGATGATCCGGATAGTATCAACGAACAGGATCTTTCGACGTGGCAGGTGTGAGCGACCGCTGGACGTGGGCCAGGCCTCTCGACAAGACGATCGTCTCGTCGGCAGACGCATCCACTCGGGTGACGCCTGCCATCATGCTTACGAGGAGCTAGCAGCGCATTATGGCAAGCACAGAGCGAGGCGAGACAGCATACGAAGCCATGCAGCAGGCGACGGTGAAACGCGGTGCATTCTTCCAGCTAGGCGCCAGGTAGCGTCGCCCACTGTCATGGGACAGCTGTACACAGGGCGCACAAGCATTACACGACGTTTGCCTGCCCGCGATAGCCTGGATGCACTGGTATCACCTCCGGTCGCTGGATACCGCTGGAAAGGGAAAAGCGTACCGTCGAGACCAGACCGTATTGCTGATGCGCGTTCGTGCCGTCTGGAAGTCGGTCAAACAATATAGGAATGCTCTCGACAGCGCGGTCCTTGATCCATCATCGATCGACCCGGACTGAGCCAACGCCGCCATGGGCGTCCGCCATCTTGGTCAACTGGATCTCGCTCACATTTCGCCCAATGGCCTTGCGCCAACGGAATTTAATCGAATGCATTTGTATTCCATACATAGTTCAAGAGGAACTCGGTGGGTTTTGAAAATAAAAAGCTCAAGCTGCGCGTCTCGACACTCGCAGACCGAAACGGGATGCTTCCGCTCTACAAGCGCGGCCTGCACCTCGTGACGCTGGCCAAGAGCCGGCGCCATCGCCGCTACGCGACGTTCGCGGTCGTCAGCGCCATCCTCATCTGCATCCTCATGCTGGCCATGTACGCCATGTACATTGCGCTCTCCGTTGCTGAGAACGACGTCACGCCACAGCCCTCGCTGCAAGTGCATGGCCCTGAGATCGACGCTGGCTTGGTAGCCACGGCTATCTCCAAGACACCGGTGCCCACGACCATTACATCGCCGATCGGAGGCGACGACGACACGAAGCCACCGCCGCCCGCGGTCGAGCGGTTCTGGCTCGTGCGCCTCGTCCTCCCGTTGGTCGCGGGCTTTGTCTTTGGCTTTCTTGGCTCGATCCCCATTGCCGGGCCGACGTCCGCCATGGTGCTCAAGATGGGCATCCAAGGCGAGTACTGGGCGGCGCAGTCCATTGCGCTCGGCGGCGCCGCGGCCGAAGCCGTACGAGGATTGCATGCTTCTTCGCTCATACCCGCGTGCGTAGACGTATGCTGGCGTGGCGTTCTGGGGCTTTGGGAGCTTCCTCGCAGGCCTCGACTTTCTCCTGCCGCTCTCCAAGTACGTTGTTCGCCGACGTACTACACGACCTACTTGTCCATTCGTAGGGTGCTTGGGGCCATCATGCTCCTTGCCATTGGCACGTATTTTTTGCGGCTGGACGTGCGTCCGCAGATCGATACAGACCCCGACGTGCACACCAAAGTGCACCACGACCGGTCGTTCTTGACGTCGCCGGTTGCGCGTGCCGAGCTCATCAAGAATATCCTCATGGGGTTTACCATGTCGGGCTTCAACCCGGCGCTGCTGGCCACGTACACGGGCGCTCTCGCCAGCGGTATGTCACTTGCCGTGTATCTACTAGTCGACGTTTAGTCGTTTTGTCGTAGTCTACCACACGGGACTACTCGAATTCACGCTTTTTCTGGCCATTGTCTTTGGCGTCGGTGTCTCGTGCGGCATCTCCACCTGGTTTTACGTGCTGCTGTCGCTGCTGAAGAAGTACAAGCAGGTATTCCTTTCACAAGCTTGACGCTCGTTTCGACTAATTCAATTTGTGGTAGCGACTAAAGAACCAAACGATCGGGCTCATTTTGCGCTGCATGGGCGTCTTTATGATCTGCCTCGGCCTTCTCTGCACGAAATCGGCGGCCGTGTACTTTCTTTTTAGTTAATCGCTCTGTAGTCGTTCGATTGTTACGGTGTTGCAAACAGGCGCCGGAGGGTCAGTAGCGCGTCGTTGGCGTCGCCCGCCACGCTGTGCAGATGGTCGAGCAGCTGCGTCAGGTCGTCGGCCTGCGTCGCTGTGAGAAACGACAGCAGCAGCGAGCGGCGCCGGGTTTGGCCAATCGCCGATAGTATCGCGATGCTGCTGGTCACGAGCGCCTGCTCGGCCTCGTACGCATCGATCTCGCCGTCGGGGTTGACGCCCCGCAGCAGCCGACGTAGGGTTGCCACGATACTGCCAAAGAGGTCGGCGTCGATCTCGGCCTGAAAGAGCTTGGCGAGCCGCGCCGGCGTCGTGCGCTCCAAGTACCTATACGAGTTGAGATACATTGCAGCCTTGGGCCATTATGATGGAAGTACTGGAGCTTGGCGGCGTCTGTCGAGCAACTCCGCTGCCACGTGCGTTGAAACTCGACCGACGATTTGGGCGGCGCGTCATCGGCGCCTGTGAGCGTCGCCGGACGCGTCGCTTTGATGGACGACGACTTTTTATGGTAGAGTCGGTTGCGCTGGCGCTCACTCTTGGAGAGATTCTGCAGCTCCTTGGAGCTCACGGGCTTGAGGTCGGCGCAGAGCACGAAATTCTAGCCACAAATCCTGAGCGTCGCAGGAGCGCAAGCCAGCGATACCTTGAACTCGTCGTAGGACGCTGCCGTGTGGATCGCGCGCTTCTTCATCTCGTCCGTCGCCTTGTACTTGCGGTCTTCGTCGAGCGCCTGCGCGAGCTCCTTCTGGAGCGACGCCGTGTCGAACGTCCCTTCGTAGATCGACGCCATGCGTGTCCTTTCGCACTTTCCTGCGCGATCCAAACTGATGCCGAATGCAAAAAATTAAATTCGGCATACTTTGCGTATCCGGATACCATGGACGATGCTGAAACGGCTTTGAAACGCCGCAACGGCCGCGTTTGTCCCAGTGTGGTCCGGTTTATCCCATCGACAAAAAGCAGTTGCGCAGTCGGCGCGAGCCAAAGCTAAATAGCTAACTTGCTACATCGCTATATTGCTAAATAGCTAGATTGTCGAGGCCAAATCGCCGACGGGTCCTTCGACGATGGTCAGTGCAAAGGCGTTGGAGGATCCGAGTAAACGCGTTGGATGCCACCCATCTTGTCAACGGCCGGCGAAACTACTGCCGTTGGTGAAGATGGCGCTCGTTTTCTTAGAGTTAATTCATATATAGGAGCTTATTTTGATAGACGCTGCCATGGACCGGGGTCGCAAAGCGCTGCCGACGCTCAACAAGCACACCGACTCTAAGTTTTACAGCCGATGCCAATCGATCCACAAGAAGAAGCTCTCGACGATCAAGAGCTGCATCGACAACTCGGAGCCGACACGGCCGGCGCACTTGCGCAAGAACCTCAAGAAGGAGCAAATGAAGGAGGAGCGGTACGCGACGATCGAGCGCGAGAACCGCATTCTGCTCGAGAAGATGAGCTTCATTATGCAGCACGACACGCTCGACAACAAGAACGACTCGATCAAGCACGGCCATAGCCTCAACAAGGGCCAGCGCAAGCGCGACCTCCAGCGCATCACGGCCGAGAACCAGGTCCTTTTGTACGCGATAGGACTAAGGTGCTGACACGTGACTAGTCGATTCTACGCCGTATTCAGACGCGCCAGCCCACGTACGACCACGTGCAGTGGGAAGAGGAAGCCAAACTCCATGAAAAATACGCGCAAAACATCCGCGAGTACCCCGAGCGCTACGCTGGCGTCGGCGAAGGCGACGAAGACTACTACGACGAAGAGACGTCGCGACTGCAGTACAGCTCGTCGGCCGCTTCTATCAACTAAACAACGCTAGATCCATCCCACAACTAACTATACAACTCTAATCAACGGTCCAATACGACGTCAACGCTACCCTCCAAACCATACGTTGGGAGGCGACACGCAAAAGTCGAAGCGCACGAGCCCACATATGTGGCGCAAGCAAAGACTTTGTCGTACGCATGTCTCAAGTTGATCAAAGCACAAGAGTGTTTATATATATATGAATGTGTTTCGCGCTATCTTCATAGTTACAAAGCCTTTGCATAGGTAGAGACTAGCAATCTCCTTCTTCTTCATTCGCTCGCCGGGCCGTGGCTGCGCAGGCGGCGGCGCGGGGGCTCGTCTTTGCTCCTTCGCAGTCGCCCAACGCCGCTTGTAGACTGGACGACACGGTAGCTAAAGTCCTTTCAGGCGTCGCGGTCGGTGGCAAGGCTTTCTCAAGGTCCTCGGGAGACGCCAGCGACTGAGGCGGCTCAAGAGTGTTTAGCTCCCTTACCATGTATTCTTCTAGTAGTACCTGATTTGAGCTGGAAGTTCTACCACGACGCCGAGGTTTGTGGACGCAAAGTACATGTCCACGCGCCTTTGGCCTGCTGGTAGTTGCTCGTTCCTCACTGTCGTCGACTACTTTGAGTAGTCGCGTAAACACAATCCATACAAAACGACTTGTATCGACTACACGTGCTACTGTTATATGGGCCTACTTCTTATAGTTAGTTGTACCTACACGCTTGACGCGAGCCGCGTCGCAGCGCAAAACACCTCTTGCGCGTTGAACTCGTCCAAGACGACGCCAAACTCGGTCACGAGTTTGGTTTCCCACTTCTTGACGTCCCGAAAGTCTTCACTCACGTCGTTGAGCTGCGCGCCGCTGACTTTGATAAATGTCTCGAGCGACGCGACCGCAGTCACACCCATGCAGGTCTTCTTGCTGCTTCCCAAGAGCGACTGGCACTGCCGCAGGCCGTGGCTTAGCAAGTCGAGGACTTCTTGCAGCTCCGAGCGCGACAAGACACTCAGGTCCGGTAGATCGTGAAGCGCCTGCAGCGTTGCGACGTGCGACGGCAAGAGCTCGGCGCGAAGGGTCGAGATCCGCGCCGCATAGTCGACGCCCGCGAGCTTTTGTTTCTTGTCTTCGAGCATCTGGCGCCATGCGTTTTAATTCAGTATCAACGTTTCAAGTTGATACTGTAGGGTACCTGATGCAAGAGGGTGGTGATGGCTGGCATCTCCAAGATGGCGCGGCTCGCAGCCAGAATCAAGTCGATGCGCGACCGAACTTGAGAAATGGACTTGGTAAACTAAGCACAGTAGCTCGGGTTCGATCACAGTGAGCGACAAATCTACCTTGAGCTTGAAGAGAAAGGCGTCGGCGCGGGTGTTGATATCGTCGACGCGAAGACACGCCTAGTGCCAGATATATCCAGTGGAATATCCCAAACCACACGTACGAGCATGAACTTTTCGGCCTTGCCAAAGTCGGAGACGTCGCCCGTGTACTTGAGAAGACTCTCCTTCTCTTCGTCTATGCAAAGGTAGCAACTTGTCAGCCCTACTCGATCGTATGTCTGATGGGCGAATCGACGTACCCGTCGGAAAGAGATTTTTGAGACACCGAACTTTTTCAAGGTTCAACACCGATTCGTCCTAGACCCGTTATGTATCAAGTTGATAGAAACTAACGCAGTACCATGTCGATAATGGCTTGGGCAATCTTGTCGTACTGTGTATGGAACTCAAAGTCCGAAAGCGTCATGACAATGTTGTTGGAGCGCTTGACGTCGAGGAGTTTGATGGTCTTGGACTTGCCCTTCGGGGACCTTGAGCGGGACTAGGGACACACATTATTCGTCCATCAAAGGCTAAGAAGCAGTAGATATACCCGCTGAAAGATATCACTCGCATCCGCGGCGGCGACGGGCATAACCTCGGGGGCGACTACATTCAACCGGTTTAGCTTTAGGAGTATATCAGAGTAGATAGAGACCGTTGGTGGCCGGCAGTGCCGTGACGACCGAGAGTCCCTCGGTCTTTCGCCGCTCGGAGAAGCTCGTCTTGGCGCGTGGCGACGACGTCGGTGACGACGCCGCGCTTGTGCTGTCATATGCTGACGTCGTCTCCAACCCCGTGACGTGGCGCGGCGTGGCCATGGCTTGCCTTGCGCTCCCAAGCTGAGCGCGAATGTATTGGCTTCGAGAGTCGTAGGCGGCGGGTGGCGGCGGTGCATACTCGTACGTCGGCGGGTACGTCGGCGGATGCTGGAGCGCCGGCGGACACTCCCACTGCGACACGCCCGTGTACAAGTTGACGTAGTAGACATGGCCGTCGGCGGTATATTTCACGTCCCACTCGGTAGATGGGATCGGCGCCGGCGGGTACTCGTAGCTGTGGTGGTAATACTCGTGTGCGGGTGTCGGGTACGTCTCATTGGCTGCATACGGCGCTGCTCGGTACGCGTAGCTGTACGCAGAGGACGTCGGCGACGTCGACGCCGACCCGCCGCTCGTGTAGCCGTCGTAGTCGCCCTCAAACGTCGAGTTGGAGCGCGCGCTGAGCGACTTGGACGGCGAGACGTTGGTCGGGCGTTGCTTGCTCAGCGTATCCCGAATGTGCTGGCGCGCCGAGAGAGGCGGTGTCACCTCTTCCTTGATCGGCTCGGGCTCGTACGTAGCAAGCAGTGCTTGGATCGCGCGGAGCTTGGCTTTGCGGGCCATCTTGTACGGTGTGGACATGTCGGCGTTGAAAATCGTCACGTCAGCCGCGCTCTCCAAGAGGAGCTTTACGAGCCCTTCGTGACCAATGCTAACGGCGCAGTGGAGTGGCGTGTTGCCGTGGCCGTCGCCCGTGTTGAGGATCGCGTCGCCGCCGACGTCGAGGATGTACCGGACACACGCGTCATGGCCCGAGAGCACTGCGCAGTGAAGCGGCGTGAAGCCGTTGTTTTGGACAACACAAATGTCGGCGCCGTGATGCAGTAGGTACTGAAGACACACCAAGTCGCCTTGGCCCGCAGCCACGTGCAGTGGCGCTTGGTTGGCGTGGTCGACGTGGTTGACGATCTCCGTGTCCATGTCGCTTTTCGCAGCGATCGAGAGCAGCTGGCGGACGCACTCGGGCTGCGACGCCTTGACCGCGATCTGCAGCGCCGTGTCGCCAAACGTCGGGTGCGGGTCGTTCTTGGCGCCCCACTTGAGGCAGAGCTCGAGGAGCGGTACGTTGCCCGAGCGACAGGCGAGAAAGAGGATCGTGTCGCCCGACTCGGCCTCGAGCAAGTCGACCGGACACCCGTCGAGGAGAAACCGGGAGATCTCGCTCACGTCGTTGCGCTTGGCTGCGTCAAAGAGGCAATGGAGCCAAGTCGTGTGGTCGCTTTTCTTGACGATTGGGTCGCGCGGGGAGAGCGCGGCGGTCTTGAGCTCGGAGAGGGTGGCACTCGCGATGGCGGCGCCGGACGTCTCGTGCTGGAGCAGCTTTCGGAGGCAGTGCACCCACACCTGAGCTTCCTCCTTGCTGGCAGCCGCGAGGTCGAGGGACCGCGACGCCGAGACGAGCGAGAAGCACGCATCTTCGTGGAAGAACGTGTTGCCCTTACTGCTCTGCGCGTGCTGCCGTCGAAACGCTTGGGTCTTGATACCGGTCTTGACTTCAAGCACGTCATGCAACGCGAGGAGATGCGCCTTCTCGAGCTTCTCCGGGTCGCTCCACGAGACGCAGAGGCCGCGCTTGGGCACGTCGTTGACAACGACCCACTTGCGCTTCGGAGCGCTCGACGACTTTGCGTGGTAGGGCACCTTGAACATGAGTGTTCCTTTTCGCACCGGCGCGTCCCAGAGACTCAAGTGGCTGCTCTCGCCCACGTCGTTGTACTTGACTTTGGAGAGCGTCACCCGCGGTTCGACCGGCTTGTCGAGAAGCGACGGGGTCGGTAGTGGCGCGACCGGGCACGCCGCCGCCGCCGGCAAACTGTCGAGCAGTTGCAGAAGGAGCTCGATCACACCGACGGGCTCAATGTGCTTTTCCCGCATCAGCGGAATGCGATGCAATGACGGCGTCGACGAGAGGTGCAGCGACCGCAGCACGACAAAGGCTTCGCCAATGACGGTCGTGCTGGCTTTCGCGGCCAGCTGCATGGTCGTGTCGTCGACCGAGAGCAACCGGCGTGTGAACGACTGGTGCCAATGCGCCTCGGAGCCGCCTTTCTTGTACTCGGCGGTGCGAAACCCCGCGTCTTCGCAGCTCAACTTGAGCTCGAGGTACGGGGCTTGGACGCCGAATTTATGGACTTTGAGCAAATTGGTCGCACCGACAACCGTGACGCCCAAGTACATGCTGCTCGTACTAGATGAAGACGAGCTGACGCTGCTGCTTGTGGCGGTGAACGAGCCATCGGCCCGGTGCAGCGGTGGCATGACGGACGCCAACGGCGGCTGCTTGACAGGTGAGTCGTAGATGACGACTTCGGGCGCCGGATCCTCACTAACTTCCAACGACGGTGGTGGCTCCGTCGTAGGCGGCTCCGTCGGTGGCTCTTCCACGACGACGATCGGCGCCGGCATACTGTACTTGCTCGCCACGGCTTTGGCCGGCGACGCGCCAAAGCGCTCGAGAAAGCCGCGCGACGGCTTGTCGTAGAGACACGACTTGGGCACGAGGTCGATCTCGGTGAAGACGTCGTCGCCACCGGCGTCGTCGGGCGCCGTCGACTGCATCGGCCAACGGTTTCCGAGCCAATTTGACCAAAATACTTTCCCACAAATCGGCGCCACGACCAAAATACATGCGAAACAGCAACACGAAACCATTCGTATTCAAGACTCCGACATGAGCTACTGCGTCGCCAGAAGCGCCGACGCCACCACGATGCGCGGGCGGCCGCAGAGACCGACGCTCTCGCACGCGGTCGCGGGACTCGCACCGGCCTCGAGGGCTGCGACGAGCTTCTCAAACGACTCGTTGACCGCATCGCACTACCCGTAGCCATGAGCTATGAGATAGCAGTCAAGAATGGGAATCGGTACCTCGACGGCCGGCGGGAGCACGCTGCACATGGTCGCGATCGCTTCGCGCAGCTTGGGCAGCTGCGACTTGTCGACTTGGGCGACGGCCGCGATCGACGTCGCCGCGTACTTGCAAAAGAGACAGCCTTCCTGCGTCGTCACCGACTCGGGGTGCGCCATCCACTGGGCGACACGCGCCTCGAGGGCAAGGACCTCCGGTTGCGCAATCGGCTTGGCAGCGCAGAGCACGACCTTGGCGCACGCCACGTTGGGCGGCTTGCCCCCTTCAATCAGCTCGGCGAGCGTGTCAAACTTGGTCACGATCGCATTGCACTGGAAGCATAGTTAGTCGCAAAACCACTCGCCAACGCATCGAGTAGTCGTACCTGCTCGTCAATGCCCGTGCCTTGCATACGGGCGCAGAGCACCTCGAGGCCTTCCTTCACGAGCGGAATGAGGTCCGGCGAGAACGACTGGACTTGGAGAATGACTTCGCCCGTGTACTCGCAGAGAAGGCACCCAATCAGGTCGTTCTTGCCAACGAGACTCTTGGTCTTGGTCTCGAGCACGGCCAGCTGCTGCATCACAAACGCCTGGCGCGCTTCCACGTTGGAGTGCGTGGTCGCTTGGTCGCAAAAATGCAATTTGGCACAGGCGTCGGTCGCACTCATGCCACTGTCGACAAGCGACGCCAGCTCATCAAACTGCGCAACGACCGCATGGCACTAAGCACCACAATAAGACGACATATTCGACGGGCACGACGGGATTACCTCGTCCGGGAACATAATTTGGCCGCACATGACCTCCATACCTTCCTTGACGAGCGGCACCAAGTCCTTCGAGACTGCGCCCACTCGCACAATGGCGTACGCCGTGTACGAGCACGTAATGCACTCGATCACGTCTTCTTGCGCATGCGTCGTCTTGCCGTCGACGACTGCCAGCAACTTGGCCTCGAACTGCGCCATCTCTGTCGCGAGAAGCGCCATGCGCGCGCTGCAGAGCGCCACCTTGCGGCACGCCGCGTCCGGGGTCGCGCCGCTTTCAATCACCGACGCAATCGCATCAAACTTGGCGACGACCGCGTTGCACTAGAACAACACATCTCAAATAGCCGTCGACTCGACGCAAACCGCCTACCTCGTCTTCAAACTGGGGCATTAGGGTACGGCTGCACAAGGTAGCCAGATCTTTCTTGAGAAGGGGCAGCAGGTCTTGCGAGTAGTCGCCAACGCGCTTGATGACTCGCGCCACGTATTCGCACAAGGCGCACGCGACTTGGCCGTTCACGTCACTCGGCGTAGTGGCCACAAGGACTGCACGGACGCGCGTCTCGAGCGCCGCCACTTCCTTCGAGACCGCAATCGCTGCGTCGCACAGCTGGACCTTGCGGCACGCATCGTGGGCCGCCGCGCCGTTTTCAACGAGGTCGGCCAAGCGATCAAACTTGGCGACAACCGCGTTGCACTCGTCCTGAAACTCGGGCACTTGGATGCGACCGCACACGAGCTCCATGCCTTCTTTGACGAGCGGCACCAAGTCCTTCGAGTACGCGCTTACTTGCGCAATGAGCTCGGCCGTGTACTCGCAAAAGAGGCACTGGATCTCGTCTTCCTTGGGCGACGCGCCGTGCACAATCGCCGTCACCTTGGCCTCCAGTTGCGCGAGCGCCTTCTGCGGCAAGGCGGGAAGGCGCTGGGCGGCGCAGAGCTCAACGTTGCGGCAGGCCACGGTCGGGCCCGTGCCGTCTTCGATGAGCGACGCCAGCTTATCAAAGACAGCGACCACTGCGTTGCACTAATATCGCAATGTTATGGTCAGCATGAGAACGGGCTGAAGACACTTACCTCGGATTGAAAGTCGGGCTCGGGCACTTGGGTGCACAAGAGCTGCATGCCCTGCTTGACCATGGGCACCATGTCCGTCGAGTACTCGGCGACGCGGGCAATGACCTGCGCCGTGTACTCACACAAGAGGCATTCGATCTCGTCCTGCGACGCCGACGCAAAGGGCACGACCGCCAGCGACGACACCGGCCGCGGCGAGCACATGTTGATCGTCTCGCACGTCACCTCGGGCGTCTTGCCTTGCTGGACGAGTTGCGCGAGCGTATCGAATTGCGCGTCCATGACATCGCACTACCCTCGCAACGCGTGAGACATTCATCATCACCATGCAAGGTCGTGGTACCTGCGCCTGCGCCGGCAGCGCACTGCACATGATCGCAATCCCTTGCTTGACCGTCGGCAGCGTGGCCGTGCCGCCTTGCTGAATCGCCGACGCCACGACACCGGCCGTGTACTCGCAGAACGAGCAGCCCAAGTACGTCGGCTCAGTGTCATAGCCGCACGCCTTGACAGCCGCGCACGCCTCGTCGACCGAGGATCCCGCGCGGAACTCGTTGGCAAGAGCGTCAAACGTCGCCGTCATAAACTTGCACTAGAAGAGGGTGTGAGACGGAGGGTGCTAGACGGACGAAAAAACGTACGCTCACAGCGTCGGGCGCGAGGCGGCACACCGACTGGATGCCCGTCTTGTACAGCTCGAGGCCGTGCGGCGAGTCGGCAAACTGCTGCATGATGCGCCCGTTGTCACGGCAGATCGTGCAAAGCTCGCCACTATAACGAGACGCCGAGGCGGCGACAGCAGGAAGTTGCTCAATGTGGTGCACATCGAGGGGCTTGGGCAAAGCGTGGTCGTGGCGCTTCTTGTGGTGCTTGGCAGCGCAGAGCTTGATCTTCTTGCAAATGCGCTTGGGCGAGAAGCCTTCCTTGATCCACTCGACAATGTCATCGAAGCGGTCCTCAAGCACCTTGCACTTGGTCGCTTCGGGGAGGTACCGGCACAAGATATTGAGGCCTTGCTGAATGAGCTGGACCGCGAGCTCTTCCTTCTTGAGCGTGTCTTCAATCAGCTCGGTCGTGCGCTGGCAAAGCTCGCACGAGTCGATACCTACGCCGTTAAGCGTGTTGGCGGTCGCTTGCGTCCAGAACGGGCGCCACGCGCACACCATCGTCGGGTCCTTCAAGCCGTGGTCAATCATGGCCTGCACCTCGGGCGAGCTCTGCACGGCCAAGCACGCCTCCACTTGGTCTTCCGTAAAGAGGCCAAAGCGACCACGGCATGGCGTGAGCGAGAGCGACTCGAGCACGTTCGCCAGCACCGAGTCGTCGGTGCCGCCCTCGCCGACCAGGCTAGCCACGGCCGTCTCGCAGGGGTCTTCGACCTCGCCGGCGAGGAAGGTCTCGACGCGGACGAAGGTCTTGTCGACGACCTTGTCAATCCAGTCGCCTTGGGCGGTCCGCGGGATGAGCCCCGCGAGCAGCGCGACTGAGATGAGCTTCATTGATGGCCCCTCTCTCAACTTTCGAAAATGTTCTTCCGACCGAAAAAAGATCGGGGGCAAGTTTACGCGCTAAGTTCCGATCTCACATACAACAACGCTGTTGTCTCGATCAAGTGCGTTTTTTGGCTCGTCAAATGCAAGCAACATACAAATAAATAGGTCAACAATCGCACTTGAACGAGAGCCGTCGTTAATCGGGAGCACCGCGCAGTTGCTTGAACTGGCCCAAGATCGCAACTGGCCGCCCGTGCATCCCACGCGCTTGCACCTGGATACACGGGTCGCCATGAGCATGAGGTCGACGCATTCGGAATGAGCGTATAGTCGAGCTACATAACTGCTTATAAATTGGCATCAGGATTATTTTACCTGCAGATCTCGGATGATGGAGAGGAAGCGCGAGCAAAAAAGCTGCAAAGATCTTTGCGACTCGCTGCTTTGTTGGCCAGTTTTGATATGCTGGTTCGACAAATAGGTCGAGTGAATGCGGTCCAGCATTCATTCTTAAGATATAAAACCGCAGCGCGGTCATCTCCGAATTGGCTGTTGGCGGTCCCAGTGGTGAAAATAGATTATTCATCCCTCTATTATGTACCCCTGGGTGGTCCTTGTCGTCCATATGAGCCGCAACATGCGTAGACACGCGTGCGTCTGCAGTAGCGGTAGCTGTGCAGTGATGCAGCAAAGAATGCACGCCATCCTTCTGAGGTGCCGATTGGCTACGTATACACCAATCGGGTCGCGACCGAGCTCGCTTGTTAAGTGCGATATGTGGATTCAGAATACAACTACTGCTCGGGCCTCGTCACAGCGCACGCCGCGTGCCTTATGAAGCCGGCATCAACGGATCTAGTGGTGATGGTAAGCTGTCCTCCAGCTTTTACGCCGGCGTTCAATAGTTTAACTCGTTCTTGTAACAATTTGTCTTTAGGAGCTCTTTAACCGCTCCTCACGCCCTTGCTCGCGACCAAGCGCAAGCGTCAAACGTGAGCAAGTCAATTGGAGTAGTGGAGCTAACAACAACAATCAAATATATATGAAGCACCCATTCCACCACAGAAATCTGGATCGCACGGCTTACATCTCTGACGACCCATCGTCGACGAGGCTTCGAAACCTTTCGTTTTGCGCGGCAGACGATCGAAGCACGCTCGTTTGTTAACAGTATTTGACATCCCTCTGGCAGCTATTCCAAATGCGATAGTGTAGACCGGTGCCTGCCGTGGTCGTCGCTTGTGCCCTTTGCTGACATGCTCAACCACAACAACCACCAACAATGAGCGCAACGACGTACTTCAGAATTACGGCGTATTCCAGTAGGAAATGAAGCGGGGAGTCCGATGATGTCCTTAAATTGCTCGAAATCGCTCTGCATCCTACCGAAATCGCGCAAAGCTCTT